TTCTCTTAATTCTACTCTGCTGTTTTTCCACTTCTCTCCTTTCCTGTGCTTCATCTCTCCTCCTCTTCCTCCTCCAAAAACAATTTGACACTACGTGGGTCATTCAGCCTGAAATGAGATTATCTCCAGAGCAGGTCAGTGTCTGCGGAGAGAGGAAAACTCCCTGAGGGTTGGTTTGACTTTGCTGAAGAAAGATGAAGAGAGATGAATAACATTTAATTCCACGAACTTCTGGAGTTTTTCAGATATTCCTGGAAGTTTCGCTTCATTAGAGACCGCGGAGACGCAGGATATGGAGATGTTTCATATAAATCTGACCTGTAAATGTTCAATTAGAAATCAGAAGTCCGTTTTTATCAACCAAAAACTATTTTCTCCTCATAACTTTCAGAATTTATCTTCATCTTTTATTGAAAAACTGCAGTGACATGAAATATATTTAAAAAAAAATCCTTCATCTATCTTCACTTCACATCTGTCATTTACTTTTTTCTTTGTTAATATGAAGATTAAAAAACATTGTTCAGGTTTTGACTACAGTGTTTTTTTTCCCTCCACTTTGGCCTCTAGGTGGCAGCAGAGCAACCCCCGTGAACATCCTCCCGGCTAACGTTAATCAACAGCTCGTCCGAATCTCTTAATTTCCAACATTCCTCCTCTGAACCTGCATCGTGACCTTTCACCCCAAACTCTTCACTCTTCAGCCGCTCACGTCGTCCCACATTAGTCCTGACGTCTCCGCCTCTCTTCACGGCGAGCGGCAGACATCCGTGTGAATGCCTCTGTATCACATATCAGTTTAAGTGGGAAATTTAATTCTGGAATATGGATCTAGTCTCTTTCTTCTCTCCTCCGTTCATCCCTCGTCTTCATCCTGTAACCGACTGCTCACCTCGCTCGTTCCTCTCTCCGGCAAAGGTTTAACAGATTTAGCTCGTTATCGAAACTGTCAATCTCGTTTCCTCCCTCACGGCCCCCGCGCTCCGTTGTCTTCCCCCGCGTTCACCCTGCACACGTGGAGGTTCCTGTAATTTCTTTCTTTGGACTTAATTCAAAGACACGTTAAAGGCTCCTTCCTCAACTATTCCCTAAAATATCCTCATGTTATCCATATTAAGGGATTAACCGAACCTAACCTCGGCTTCAGAGACCAAAGTACAGTCACATAGAAAGGTTTATTTGTGAATCCTTATTTTATCTTTATTTAAGTAACTACATTTATTTATCCTTTATAATCAACAGTGATTTACTTTCTGATGTCATCACAGTGGTTATGAAAAGTAAGAGAATAAAAAATAACCACTTCTACGTTTTTCTCCGAATTCCAAAACATATTTAAAGTTACTAGCATGCATCATGTTTTGGGTTTTACTTCCTACTTCCTGCCACTTCCTTCTACTTCATGCCCACGAGGGCGGGACTTCCTACTTCCTTCTACTTATTGCCACTTCCTGCCAGTCCCAGGAGGGCGGGACTTCCTACTTCCTGCCAAGTCCCAAGAGGGCGGGACTTCCTGCTTCCTGCCCAGTCCCAGGAGGGCGGGACTTCCTACTTCCTGCC